GAGCGCCTGTGACATACCCTGGGCAGTCCCAAAAGGGGAGTCAAGAGAGCCTCTCCAGATAGATGCACAACAAGGAGAGGGGAAGGATAAAGGCAGAGGAGAGAGAAGGCAGGCAAAACCCACCATGCAGCTTGCACAGGCAGGCTGGAATGCATGACTCCTTCTCTCAGGAGGCTACAAGGATTATCACCTCCTTATGGAGAGAAAGCCCAAACCAGAAGGGCAGAGCCATGCAAATAAGTTGGGCAAAGGAATCAAAGAACTGGGAGTTTTGCTTTCGAGCCCCTCTATCCACACATTATTGCTCCAAGATGCAGGAAGAACAGGACCTTCAAAGCAGGTAAACCCAACCAAAACCATCTTTCTGGTCTGCCCCACCTGTTTTAAAACCCTAATCAGAGAAGTATGTATGCAGTGTGCTGGGCACCAGCCCTATTGCAGCCCTCCAGCCACAGCAAACCTGGGTCAGCCTGGTAAAGCACAACATGGGTCAAGGGAGACAGCATCAATCCCAACAAGGGCTGGAAATCATTGACAACATTTAGCCTCTGAGTTGCTCCCTGAACGGTGAAACCCAGCAACTCAAAGTAGTAGAGCACCACAACTGCACAGCAAAACACTCCTCCAGCAACAAAACCTGACGTTACTTCTGCTTTGTGAGCCTCCATCAGTATCTGGCTACAAGGTGGACACGTATGGACGCTACAGCACGCTTCAGTGAAGACATCTATTCCATCCATCATCCACACTCTGCTTGTCCTGATCTGTTAGTTCCCACCTCAGACGAAAGAAGTCCAAGGGGAGAACCTCAACAGTGGATACCTCTGGAGCAGGAAAAGCAGGATATGAACCAGTGTGCTGCCTGGCACACATCCTTTTTGCAGTCACAACCCTCCCTGTGGTGCTACTAGAGCCCTGTATTTCCAGGGAGCAGTTCAGCAGGTAAGAGCCAAGCCCCTGGCACCCACCTGGGATAGGAAGCAGAAGCTGCCAGCAACAAGGCTGGGTAGTTTCAGAAGCAAAGAGCTGGAAAAGCAAAAGCACCTTCAGCATTGCTAATTCTGTGTGGGAACAGCCAGGCATGTGCCTGCCACACATGGAGCACAGTTACCAGCATCAACAGGAAAGCAGATTTCCTATGGGCACATGGCAAGAGCATCACCTCCACGGTGGAGAGCTCACCTTCAGTGGCTCAATACCTAGTGAGTATGAGCCACCAGCAGCTATTGACACACAAGAGACCAGCATCGTGGTGGGACCGATCTGCCTGCTGCCTTCTCCAGGCAGGGTCAGAGAAGCCAAGGTGAGATGAGAACCCACAGGCAGTTGCCCCCCTCACCCCAAAGCAGTTGCTTCTCCTTCAGGGCCAGGCTGCATCTCTCCCTTGGAGTGTTTCCATTGACTTAAGCCACCAGAGAACTGCATGTCCAGAAGTTTTTTCCAAGTGCATCACATGGTTATTAAAAGATACGGCCTCTCCCTCTCAGCCTCTAGCACAGGCAGATTTGGGATGTTACAAGGAGAGATGGCACATTGCTGATGAATCAGGGAAGGGAGTTACCCAAGTAACAGCCTGGGGCTCTAAATGGCTTTCTGGAATAGGCATCGGGAGGCAGGAGGCAGTCACCATCCCGCAGCAGGGCTCTGCACACATTGCCAGGTGCGTTGCTCCTCCTGGGAAGCCAAAACCAGCCTCTCTCCGGAGATGCCAAGTCTCAGCTAAGTTGGGAAGGGCAGGGGCACCCTGACAGAGAACGGCAACAAAAGCCCTCCAAGTCAAAATACACATTAAAAGGCCCCTTAACCTTGTTTGACCTGGGTTTCCCTTCCCCTCAGGCTACTGCTTCAAGCACTAGACCTGTCAGCAACACTTCAGGAACTCAAGGGCTACCCCACCAACATCCGCAGCCAGCTGCTGCCTTTCCAGGCCCTGGGAGGGCTGTCGGAGATCAGAGGCACAAGCTGCCAGCACCTGCAATGCCACGCACGGGGCCTGCATTGCCCTTGTCTCCTCATTTGGACAGAGATTTGGAGCTCTTCTGAAAGGTGCTGGCCTTCAGCACCATGAATGATTCAGGCCTTCCATTCTAGGCAGGGCTCATGTGTCAGGGACTAAAATACTCCCTGGATGTGCCCTGTCTACAGGTTATCTGGAGTGAGTCACAATTTATCCCAAAGTATTGGCTGAGCTCATCCAGAAGCAAGAAAATAGACGGCCACAGCATGGTGTGGGAGCTGAACTGCGCAGGAAGGGATACCCCAAGGAGACAGGGCCAGAAAGGCCACCGCATCCTACACCAGGACTGCTCCCTTCCAACCACAGCTGGAAAGATCCACTTCCCTCACCTTAGACTGCAGGCTCCTTCCTCCAGCAGTGAAACATGGCTGGGGAGAACATCCACTTCCCCCACAAGTACCAACCTCCCAACACAGACTGGAGCATCAGTCATAGTGAATCTATTCTTCTACATCCCACTCCCCAGCTCCAACACATCCTCACGTACCCCAGCACCCCGCAAGGCGTGTTTGGAGCAAGGCTTCCTTAGGATGAGCTGCCTCAGACCCACAGCAGCGCTCTGCCTGGAAGCAGGCTCCCCAGGAACAGTGTGATCTCGCAGATCTCAGCTAAGAGCAAGACGCTGGCAGCCAAGCAAGCTGGACTGAAGCACTGTACCCAGTGATGGGCTGGCACAGGGATTGCTTTTTTTGGTTTGCTTCTTCTTCCTCCCATTAGTGCTGAGCCTGCACCCCTCGTCATCAGAGCACAGGAACTATTTGGCCTCAGTTACAGCCAGTGGATTTCCAGTAAGCACGAGCCCTTGGCACCCAGAGTGACAGTAAGGGCTAATAAAAGAGCTGCTCAGAGATGTTTCTGGGTACAGTGGAGACAGAAACTAGCCCCTCATCCCAGCCTTTCACCTCCTGCCCTCCCAGTGCTGGCACCATGAGCCAAGGCGATTTAAGTCTTGCTCGGTCTCATGGGCTTGCTGCTGCTCTGAGACACCACCCTTCCTACAGTGCTCCCGCACGGCCTATTTACCATAAAAAGGCAGCTTGATGCTACTCAAACTGTCCTCCAAAGTCACTCACTGCGAGAGGGAGATATGCAGAAAGAGGGACAGGGCGGACAATGGGTGGGAGGGAAGCTGTGGGCAAGGGATGAAGAGGAAACATCAGCCAAAAAGCTTCTCACTCGGGGCCAGAACTGCACTATCTGCCTCTGCCGTTGAGAGCAGCCCAAGGACTTTGTGCATCAAGCTTCACCTCTGGCTGAAGACAAGGTGTCTTTGGCAGTCTCCTAGGCGGCCGGCTCTCAGATTGCTGCCTGCCAGAGTCAGAGCTCCTCCTTGAAGGAGAGCAGCTCCAGCAGTCTGCACTGGATATGCCCCTAGAGTCACTGTCAGTGCACACCTATCCCCAGCCAGCTCACCCCTCTGCCACAGGCTTCAGGTGCTATCGCACCCACGCCGGTACTTCCATCAGCAGCTCTGCCTCGGTGGCATTCAGAGCTCACAGGTAGCGCTGCATGTGAATGGAAAGTTGGGTGCAACCCATGCGATTCTGAGCAGAAAGGTTTGCTTAGCGGCAGCCTGTTTGCCAGCAGTATCTCGTGCCCTTTTTGAACTCGGCCTGCTGGAAAACAAACCCTCGGGGGAAGGGGGGAGAAGAGGAGAGGCGAGATCAGAGAGGATAAAGTGCCTGCCCATGCAACTGTAATTCTCGCCGAGGAAGCTGCAGGCACACACTGTGTCTATTGTGTGGAGGTAACCGGACAGGAGGAAGGAGGGGCAGCTTGGCAATCTTTTCTGTGCTCTGTGAGAGGACACAAAACACCTTCCTCACGCTGAAAGGTGCGGCAGGGAGGCACAGAGCCGCGTCCATGTGCACCAACCGCTGATGATCTTTGCACTGCAAGGTGTGCCGAGGGCCAGGCCCAGCTCAGGGCAGCCGTGCACGGCAGGGAGGGCACCAGGATAAGTCTCCCTGGGCGAGCGGGAAGGCAGAGCTGGATGGGGTCCATGCAGCCCAGCACCACTCCTCACGGCGGGGAGGAGGAAGGGCTGGCCTGAACACGGGTCTGAGCCCTCACTCGCACCAGGCTGTAGGCAGGCAGGTCGCACACCTCTGCCCCCCGCCTGGAAAGCGAGGGGTAGTGCTTAAGTGCTGTAAAGAACAGAGTGACCGGGGATGGGCGCCGGGAAGCGCTGACAGCACGGTCCTGGCTGCCTCCCTGCTCCCCTTCAGCGCTCCCTCCTTCCTTCCTTCCTTCCCTTTCCCTGCCCTCCGAAGCCTCCTCCAGCCCCAGGTCGCGGGCAGGGACGGACACACACACACCCACGACAGCAGACGAACGAACGCGACATTGTCAGCCCCGCGTCCCTCCCCGATCCTTTCCCATTCCCTGCCCGCAGCTTGCGGCCCCGAGGGCAGCTCCCCCTCTCCCACCCGCACACCCAGCGAGCACGGAGCGTTCCGCTTGCACAACAGCGGGGCTGCGCTGCCCGCTCCGTCCCACCGGGCGCTTCCCAACACGGAGGTGCAGGCACACGGTGCCGGGGCCACCCGAACGCGACCCCCCCATGTCCATCAGACCCCCCTCCGAGCCCACCTCCCCTGACCCCCACAGGGCACCCAGCACTCACCGCACCGCCGGAGCGGACGCCCCGGGCACGGCGCTACCGGTTCCCAGACCCACGGAGCGGCGGCTCCGTGCACGGACCGACCCCCGCCCCGCTGCAGCGCCCGAACCTCGCGTCCCTCCGGGGCCCCCAGAGCTGACCCACACCCCGGCTCCTCACCCTGCGGTACCACGGCCCCGCTCAGGCCGCCCCACAGCGCGGAGCCCGGCCCTACACAGGCTCCTCACGGGGACCGGTGCCCCGCAGCCCGACACATACCTGCCCGGCGGCGGCCGCTCCGGCTCCTTTAAACCGGCCCATCGGCCGCTCGGCAATCGACCGCCGCGCCTGGCTCGCTGCCTCCGCTTGAGTGGGGCGGGCCTGGCGCGCAGGCGCGGTGGCGGTGTCCGGAAGCGCGGTGCTGAAGGAGCCATGGCGGCGGCAGCGGAGCCGGTCGGGGGCCGCGGTCCGGTGTGGCGGCTGCGCCTGCTGTGCCAGCGCTACCAGGAGTACGTGCGGCGGCACCCGGCCGCCACGGCGCAGCTGGAGGGCACCGTGCGGGGCCTGTCCTACCTGCTGCCAGGTGCGCGATGGGGCCTGGGTCGGGGCTGGGCTAGGGCTGGGCCGGGGCTGAGGCGCCCTGGTAGCCGCTGTCCTCCCTTCGCAGGTCGCTTCTCGGACTCACACGCGCTGTCGGAGCTGGGTAGGTGGCAGCCGATCCCCCGACCCCCTGCTTTGCCCTGTGTTCCTCCCGCAGCCTCTGTGCACCTCGCTGCTCTTCTCTCGTCCCCCGCCAGGGAAGAGGCAGTAGTGCCCGGCTGGTTTGTGTTCTGTGCATCCCGTAACTGTGGTGTGCCTTTCTTCCCGTTCTAGTGTACTCTGCCTCCAACCTCCTGGTGCTGTTAAACGACTGGATTATCCGAAAGGAGCTGCAGCAGAGCTTGCCCGTGGTAAGGCTGCAACGTGCAGGAGGATTTGGGCCACATGCTTTCTTGCTTGCAGAGGATCTCAGGGAGTGCCTGTAGAAATTAACAGGTTTTGCTGTGGCCTCTCTGCTGTCAGGTATGTAGAGGCCCGAGGCAACATCTGAAGGCCCTGCCCAAGCTCCTGGCTTGGAGGAGTGGCCAGGACCACAAAACCAGTCCCTGACTTGCACTGGGAACTTGCTGGGTTTGTCTGAGGTCAGAACTTGAGCTGGGCAAAGGTGTTGCCACATAACTGTCACTGTGCCAGCGCAGTGGCTCTGGAGCAACTGAAGCTCTGATTCCATCCCTTAGACTTCTTTTCCATATGCTATTGAGCAAGCCAAATGTAAGCACCTTGCTTCTGTGTCTCTCTTGCAAGCCCCCGGCTGGCTCCCAGCACTTGTGAGACCCGTTAGGGGCATGAAGAGGAGGGCATTTTTTCCCACACAGGCCTCTTGTGTTGCAAGCCTGCCTGCTGTGTGGGTTTGGGTGTAGGCAGCTCTTTGGCTGGACCAACAGGCGTGTAACAAACAGCAGTGGGGAAGATTTGCTTCCCTGGTTGTGAAAGCTGATGTGAAGTTCAGCTGTATTGCTTTTATTGGTGCTTTTCAATGAGTTAGTCCTGGGGTTGTGGCACCAGAAAGTTCCTGTGTGGGAAGCAGGGACCCAGACTGGAAAAGCATTCACTGTCTTGTGGTTCATGCCTGGAATCTAGACTGGTGCTGTATTCAGCAGGCATTCACTCTGGTGTGACTTTGAATCCCCTTCCCTCTACTCTGACCATACACCCTCATCGACTCTAACAAGAAAGGAGGCTCATTGTGTAATCCACCTCTGGGACAAGGAGGAGGAAAGTTTTGGTGTGGAGTTTGGGCACAGTGCCACAACCCAGGAGACAGTCCTGCTGTCCCAGCTGGGGTAGAAGGCAGACCAAGATGCAGCTGTAATGTTTTCCCTGTTTCTTAGGGTAGTGGCTCCGTGTGATACTGTGGTGTCTTGGGCTTGTGCATAGACTGGCTGCAGGGGGGGCACCACTTTTTGTTGCTGGAGTTGTGACTTCCAAGCCCATCCTGTGCTTATTTCTGAGGGTTCCACCAGACTGGGCTGTACTTCTGCCCTGTTTAACTCCTCTGCACAACCTGCATCCTGTCCGCCTCCTCCCCTCTGTGTTTTGCAGTCGCTGCCCCAGCAGAAGCTGCTGACCTGGCTGAGTGTGCTAGAATGCGTGGAGGTCTTTGCAGAGATGGGGACAGCCAGGGTGTGGGGGGAGATGGGCCGGTGGACCATCATTGTCCTCATCCAGCTGGCTAAGTAAGTGCTGTGGGCGGAGGGGAAGGGGCAGCATGTGCTTAGAAAGGGGATCTGGAGGGGTCTCAGCATTACCCCTGGAAAAAGCCCAAGCAGGACTGAGCTGACAGTCCCTGAGGCTGGGGGAATTTGGAGCCCCACAGTTTGGTGGGTGCTGTGCCACAGAAGGGGACATTTCCCCCTCTCACCTTGTCAGTTGCCCTGAGCAGACCTGAGTGTTTCCCTCTTCTGTGGAAGCCACCTTCCCAGCGCACCAGGAACCCACCTCCGTAGCCTGGTATTGAAGGCTTCCACGTGTCTGCTCACAGAGCCATCCTTCGCCTCCTGCTCCTGCTGTGGTACAAAGGTGGCATCCAGATGTCTCCTCCCATCGTGCCGCTGAACAGGGAGCAGCAGCCTCTCCACCCCCAAGGTGAGCCCTGGGAGCTTCATCATTGGCTTGGTGCCTTGTCCTGCTGGGAATTACTCATCAAAGCAGCGGTTTGGGTGGCACAGGGAGCTGTAAGACTTCAGTACACGAGGCTGAGCTACACTGAACTTTCCACCCTCTGCAGAGCATGAATTAGCATAGTGACAGGGTTGGCCTACAGTCAGGAAGGAGGGCGTTGAGGAGTCTAAGGTTGGAGCCACTGGCTGAACTGTGAGTCAAGCTGTGTGTCCCCTGGTCTGGCAGTGAGGAAAGAGACCCTAGGCCTGGGTGAAGCCAGGCAGATTCAGATTTTCATCCTGTGTGTAGCATTAGCCCCTTCAGCATGGTCTGGCTTGCAGTAGATCAGACTTTCAGCCTGGCAGCGTAGGGAAGGGTGCTGCCAACTTTGGGGTCAGGCACTTTCCTTTGAAGACTCACCCGTGGCTGTTTTCTCCTGCAGACATGGAAGACAACTCCTCAGGGAAGGATCAGACCTATGTTGGCAAGCGTTCCAGCCGTGTTGTGCGCTCTCTTCAGAGCAGTAAGTAGCTGAACCTGTTTTCTGTCCTTGCCTGAGCTGTTTCTGCTCTGCGCTCTTTATGTGTGACCTGGGTGTGGGCAGTAAAGAGCAGAACCTTCTATTGGGACGTACCTTGTCAGTCACTGTGGGTGGGGGGATATGAAAGCAACAGGGGAAACAGCCCTTCAGCCTGATTATGCTTTAGGAAGCACAGACCTTGCAAGTACCTCTCACTGCTCTGTCCCCTCTGGCGGCAAGGCTGTGAGAGTGCAGGTCAGCCACAGCAGTTGCTGTGTGCTCAGCTCTTCAAGCATTCCCATTTCACACTTTGACAGTGCAGAAAGCAGCAGGGTGCTGGTGCAGGGAAGCATGGGAGGAAGGTTTTACTTGTGTTACTGACCTGATGTGCTTGTTTCAGCCCCATCCCTGCAGTCCCGGCACTGGGGGTCCCCCCAGCAGAGGGAGGAGTCACAGAGCCGAAGAGCAGAGATGAACCAGCCTCCCACCCCTCTGGGTCTTCAAGAAACCATCGCAGAATCCCTCTACATTGCCCGTCCTCTGCTCCACCGTATCCTGCCGTGGCTGTGGATGGGTTCGAGCCCTGGTGCAGGGCACTGCCATGCCAGGCTCCTCTCTCTGCCCTGCTCTGCCTAGGCAGGGCCTCAGGACTCCTGCCTTCTTTTACACCTGAGAGGCTTGCCTCAGCTGCTGGAGTTGTGGGTGCAAGTCCTCTAGCCCCTTCCCTGTCCGTCCCCCCCAGCACTGCCTTAGTGTATTCTTCACTCAGCAGAACTTTGCTGGCACCCAAGGGGTGCTTGTCTGCATGCCTTCTGTTAGGTGTCTCTGGTTCTTTCCATTCCTTGACTCTGTTCCTAGTGTTGAGTTTAGGAGTGTGGGGCCAGAGATCGTGGAAACCCTGGCTCCTCTCAGCAGTCCTGGACATTTCAAGGTCAGTCTGAGGAAGAGGCTTTGTGGGTGCTTGAAGTTGGTGGTAACTGAGCATCACGCTTTCCCCTGTTCTCCATTCCTGGGCAAGCCCCACTGAGAGAAATACACACAGGGGCTGGTCTTTAGCTGGGAGATTGACACGTTTGGGTGTCTTCTGCAACACATAGAGTGCTCTCTGCTTTGAGCTGATGCAGCCTGCTCTGCGTGGAGCTGAGAAGGGAGAGCATTTAAAAACGCACTCTCTCCTTGCTGGCTGCTGTTGCTGTGAGTTAGCTCTGTGCCCTTCTCCTTCCAGCCTGAGTTTACTGAGTGATCTGAAAGACCTGAACAGGCGAGAGCGAGCGGAGCTGAGGCGACGAACCATCCTACTGCTGTATTACCTGCTGAGATCTCCTTTCTATGACCGATACTCAGAGTAAGGGGCCCCTGCTGGGCTTTTGCTGAAAATTTCCCTTTTAACAGAAATAGCATCAGGGGACAGGGTGAGTAGATCTGAAGAAGTCTGGGTGCCTGTGACCAGGTTAATCTGAGCCCTTGTGTAACAGCTGCCATTGCTGTTTGCGCATTCAACTGCCGGGGCAGGAGGTGTCCTGCTGGACTTGTTCATACTCTTTCCCTTCCTAGGGGCAGGATTCTCCTTCTCCTGCGCCTGCTGGCTGATTACGTGCCTGGAGTTGGCTTTGTCACACGTAAGTGGGCCCCACTGCTGTATCCCTGCTTCTGTTGGGTGGAGAAAAATCAGGGGCAGAACATTTGTCAATTGGTTTCCATCTGAGGAAGGAATTGGGAATTCCCTCAAATGGTTAGCATGGGTGCACCCTGTTTGAGACTAGAACAGGAAAGGATGACTGCTTCCTGACTTGACCACAGTGATAAACTTCTGTGTGCCCTCCCAGGCTGCAGAGCTTGGTCTCTGTCACCTAGGCCTGTTTTCCTGGGTTCCCTCTCTGCACTTCACCAGAGCCCTGCTTTGCAGCTCTGTTTCTGAACCCTTGATCCGTTCCCAGTCTGCAGCGCAGACACGAAGGGTAAACGGGTGCTTTGGGGTACTGACCCAGGCAATTAAAGGGCCAAACCAGGTCTATCTTTTCTAGTCCTTCACCAGAGAATCTCTTTATTATGGGCCAGAATTCCACCTCCCCATCTTCACTGCTGATGTGAAGCCATTTGTGGAGTGATTCAGGACAGTGATGTGGCTTTAGATCAGCCTGGCATCATGGCATTGTCCTTTCTTTTGGGAGGTCACAAAGTTGGCTAGCTCAGGAGCTGCTTCCTTCCACTTAGTGCTTTCAGAGAGGCTTTGAAGCCTGCATTAAGCTGTGTGCTACATAAGCATTTTCACTCGACAGCAGTTGCTTCTGTGTCTGCACCTGCTTGTTGTTGCTGAGTTGTCTTCCCTGTGCCGCAGCAGTGTCCTCCTAACTCACTGCATCCAGGTTTTCACCTTGCAGATTGTAGACCCCCCTTCCCACTCAATCTTGGATGTGTCAGCTGTGAGGGAGTGGTGTCCCACACCATGGCCATGTTTCACACCCTGCTTGGTGCTGCTCTGATCTCTGCCACCACATCCCAAAGTTGTCTCCCATCTTGACAGAAGTAACTGTTCTATTGTTGGGTTAGGCTGGAGGTTTAGGATTGTTTGGTATCATAATGAGAGGGGATATATATATATATATATATATAGCTTGTATATATAGCTTGGAATTCTTGCCCTTCTATGTGTGATTCCTCTGCTCTCTTGTTTCAGGGCCACTGATGGATTACTTGCCTGCTTGGCAGAAAATCTATTTCTATAACTGGGGCTGATGAGAAGATGATGATTGTTCTCTGTGAAGATTGTGGCTGGACATTTCTAAGGAGGGCAAGCAGGCTGGAAGGGATGTGGATAATGTCTAATTTTCAAACCATCAATGAAAAGCTCCCATTCTGCAGGGTGGGGAGGGGGGTGTATGTAATACTTTTAACAGATCTAGCTGTGAATGATGGACACTACATGCGTGGAGGGACCCTGACCACCTCTTTCTCTGGACCGTTCTGTGGCTACAGTGATGGCAATGGGACAACCTCTTTTTTTAAGCACTTGGTTTTTCTCCTTTTGTACAGCTGCGCTATCATAAAGCCAGGCAGCACAGGGGTTTTTTGGAGAGCACTGTCTCCCACCTCATGGCGCTGAGGTTCACCTGCAGCCTGCTTGTGTTAGCCCTGCCTGGGCAATCTGCTTGGAGCGGGCTTGTCTGTCAATAAACTGACTGAATGGGAAGAACTGAGGTGAAGGACCTCTCCCTCTGTGTGGGTCTGTCTCAGAGAGAGCAGCTTTTGCAGTTTTCTGCCCTGGGTTACACTGTCCTTTAGAAGCCCCTGTAGCAGCCTTTCTAACTCCAGGTGCCTGGTGCAGTCCTCAGTTTCCTGGGCTTCCCCTGGGGGTACAGAGCTTCGGTTTGAAGGCTGTGTTCCTAGCACCTAGTTGTGTGTGCTAAAAGGGTTTGCAGGATGGCTGCCAGCCAATGCTCATGGGCTTGGCCAAGGGCAGAGAAGAGGAGAAATGAAGAGATTAATTCAGCAAATACTGCTGTTCCACACTAAATACAGGGCTAAAAAGAGGCCTGGGCTGCCATGGCCACATTTCTGTATCAGCTCTGCTGAGGGCCAGTTGAGGCATCACGCTGCTGTGGAGGCTCCCTTGGCCAGGACAAAAGGGCAGCCAGCTGGTGGCACTGTGCAGAGCTGCAGAGTGCCAAGATGCCTTGGCCACAGATGGGTGACAGGAGTGGTTCCTACATGAACCATCCTCCAGGGACTCTGGCCTGCATGGATCACAGCTTTCCTGCCTCAGAAATAGGGGGGTATAGCCCACACCCCCGTTATGGGCCAGTTGGTGACAACAGTGCAGTGGGCTCTGTGTTGGCACCTCCCTGTAATGTGGCAGTGTAAAATAGCCATGAATGAAGAACTGTGCTCCCTTCATTTGAGTATTGCAAGGGGTCACTCCTGGGGACATGGAGGCACTGAGATGAAATGAAGGGATTTGTTTTTGAAGGGGTTGCAAGGGATGAACATGGTGCTGGTGAGGGACATAGAAAGGGAAACAGCCCTGGAGCTGTGGCTGCATGGGAGGGATGTGCACCAGTGCAGGGAGAGCAGTGAGCAGAACCCGGGCAGGACCACACAGCCCAGGACCAGGAGCTGATGTAGCAGGAGGGGATAGGCAGCAGCACCTGGGTGGGGTTCTGTTCCTTGCCAACCCAGCTGGTGTCCTGGAGCCTCCTTTGTGACCTCGGAGCAGAGCCAGAGTCAGGGTGCATCATGCAGTGGTGGCTGCTGCTGCTCGGCCTGCTGCTGGGGGCTGCCCTCCCACGGCCCTTGGATGAGAGGTGATGGCATTTCCCTCCTCCTTCCCTTCCTCTCTGCTGCCCTGGTACCTGCAGAGCCACCCCAGGGCTCCTGGCCATGGGCACCAAGCCCTCAAGCCCTGACTGGACTGGCTCATAGGAGCTCTTATTTCAATGCAGGTGAGTGCTGCAGGGTTCACTCTCACCCCTGGTTTTCCTCCACAGGGCCAGCTACTCGGTCCCTGAGGACTTCTCTGCACTCCTGGAGCTTCCACAGCAGCACTTTGGCTTGGTGGATGGTACAGCCTGCTCCCTACCCCGCTTCCTCTGCACTCCCCCTTGAGGCTGGCACTTGTCCCCAGCACTGTGAGCAGCCCAGGGCTGAGCCCAACCTCTCCACTGCACCTGCAGATTACGGCATCAAGCCCAAGCAGCCGCGTCTCAGGACCCGCGTGGGACGGAAGCGGCCAAAGTGGCTGCAAAGAGCTGGCAAAAGCAAGAGAGATGAGCTCGACCTGCAGGAGTACTACGATGATGCCCATATGTGAACCAGTGTGCCCACCACAGCCTGGCCCCAGGGACCCCTCGCTGCAGGACAGTGTAGGTGTGGGGTGTAGGGTTAAGGGTAAACCCTGCTTTGGGAGGGGACTCCAGCCATCCCTTCTGATCATCACACAATGATTTCTGCCCTTCAGGCAACTAGGGCTGTCAGCCCAAACCTGAGAAGCTCTAGCCAGCTCCTCTTGAGGTCCCAGGGGAAGGAAGCCAGGGCCCAAACCTACTGCAGTGGGACACAAACAGCACAGCAGCCCTGCTCCATGAACCATCATATTTAATAGTTGTTGCCATCACAGCAGATCCAGCTGAAGCACAGAGCTCTCTGGCTGCAGGGACCGGGAGAGCTCTTCTACCTCCCCAGTGCTTTGCTCAGCTCCCTGCAGGCTGTAGCCCTTCCCTGCCCCATGTCTGGCAGGCACTCAGCTCTGCCACTGCCTCTGCTACCTGCAGCCAGGGGGAGAGGAGAAAGGGGCAGAGAAAGGCTCCCCTCCTGAGGGTGTAGTTACTGCAGGGAGCTATAGAGGGGCATTTCTGTCTCTCCCCCTGGGCATGGATACAAGAAGATAGGGATGGGGGCAGAGGCAGCAGTGAGCTGTCTCAGCTCATCCTGGTGCTGTTTTGGCAGAGGGGATAGTGGGGCTCCCTCTGTCATTCCTGCCCAGCAGCCTCTATATCCCCAGGGCATGGCAGGGAGGTGATGCCTGCCCGAGGCAAGCCCATCCCCCTGGCAGAAGCCAGCATTATGGGTCTTATTTGCTGTAGCTGCTGTGTCTTCATATTGCAGGAATCTGACTCTGCATTAAAAGTCACCCCAGAGGGATGTGACGGGAAGCTGGGCCCTGGTCACAAGGAGGAGATGCTGTCACCCCAGCCTGCAGCAGGAAAGGGCCTGAGCAGGCTCCGGTGCTCACAGGCAGGGCCGCCAGCAGGTACTTCTCCAATAGAATAAACTAAGAGTATTTTGTACAATAAACACAATTTGTCCAGCCCTCCCCCCTCCCGTCCCCCCCAGCCCAAGGAAGGGGAGTCACGAAAAGAGGCTGCACCCTGTGCCCCGGGGAGCCCTGCCCCGGGCCTGCTCCTCCTCCAGGCTCAAAGCAGCTCTTGTCCATGCACGACACGGGGAAGGGGAGACACTGCAGCCCTGGCTGTGCAGGAGGTGCCTGTGCCAGCCCCTACTCCAGGTAGATGTCCTCCGTGGGGCACGTGTACTCCACATACTCCTTGTAGAACTGCTGAAAAGCCCTCCTGCAACACAGCACGGGGCAAAGCTGAGCAGTGTCCTCTCTACAAGGCATTTACAGACCCCTGCTCCTGCAGCCAGTTTGACCCTCCAGCCCCCCAGCCTCTGCGTTAGCACCCAGAGCTGCCATCAGATCATCCCTGCCCTGATCCCTGCACATCCACATGACTTTCAGCATCTGCCTGCAAAGCCTTGCAATGGGATGTGTTCCAATGCTGTCAGAAATATGCTGCCTGTAGCTCTGTCAGCTCTGGCTCACAGAGCTCACAGAACCCAAGCTTCTCGCTTGAAGGAAGAGGTGCCAGCCTGGGGCCTGGTCCAAGCCCCACATGTATGGGAAGATGGCAGGATTTGTTCCTCCTGCCCTTTGGGATCAAGCCTTCCCTGCCCAGCGAGGACTCACCCTACAGATTCCGCCAGTGGCTTCGTGGACTCCTCCGAGACAAAGACGTGACAGGCGAATCTGTGGTCCGCAGGATGCTTGGTGATGAACCCAAAATACCTGAGGGCAGACAGGGTGGGGGTGACTGGACCAATAGACAAATAGGCACAGGTACCCCAGCATCCCCTTGAGTATAAGGGTTTGGGACCTGAGACCCCCCCCAAACCCCACCAAGCCGTGGCCCATGCCCATTGCTGTGATGCAATTCCCTCCCAGCCCCAGTTGTGCTGCTCCTAGGCAGTGAGAAGGCAGCAAAGCCTCTGTGCTGAGCTGCTGACAATTGAGAGCTGCCCCGCACCTCACTACTCACTTGTTGTTCTTTGGATGGTACCCACAAAAGGAAATGTTCTTCAGCTGGAAAAAATGGCTACACTTGTTTACCTGGGGAGAGAGAAATGAACTGTCAAAGCCTCCCTGCCCACTCTCCTGTGGGGCGGCAGGGCTCTGGACCTGGAAATATGTGCTTGGATTGAGCACTGAAATGAACTAGAGCCTGATCCAGGGCTGCTACCAGTAGCTTCAGGATGGTCCCAACCATCCACCCCAGCTGCCTCTACCCTGAGCAGCTCCTGGAGGCCCTGGGTTAGACTCTGGCAAGAGCCTGTGCTGCTGTTCACCCAGCACACACAGTCCTTCCTCACTAAATGCCAGTGAATAGAAGGTGAATGGATAACTGAGGTAAATGGATAGAAGGTGAATGGAGCTAAGCCATTCAAGCCTGGGTGTTCAAAGGGCCCCAGCCAGAAATGAGAACTTATTTACAGGAGTTTAAAGAGCAACTAAGCTGATGGCATCCTCTAGGTACAGGCAAGACCTGCAGAACCGTCAGCCCAGCTCTCTGTCACAGCACTTAGAGCCATAAACTACTCCTACCCCCAGCAGTAGGGGAGGTTTCCCAACAGCTTGCTGCAAAAGCCCTCTGCCCAGCACATGCTTTGCTAGGCTGCTTATGCAGAATGCTAATCAGCAGCCTGCCCTCACTAAAGAGATTACGGGGCAGATCTGGAGGACACCACTCAAAATAGTAGCAGAAAGGTTTAGGAGCAGCTGACAGATTACTGGTACAGCTCAGCTTGCAGCATCCCAGCACAGCAACATCTTTGGGAGCTGCAAGGGCATCAACCAGCGGTATGGCCCAAAACTGGGATTATGGGATGCACAAAGGACCCTGATGGTGGGCCTCACCACCCCAATGATGGTGCTTCTCACACCCTCAATCTTCATATGCAAACATGAGCTACAGCACAGGGGAAAAGAGGCAGCTCAGAGCAGCAGCTGGGGATGGGATGAGTGGGGAGCAGGGCACTACCTTGCTGTGCTCCTTGGAGTCATCAGCTTTCACAGCAATCTTGACCCCACGCACGCTGATCTCCAGGACGCAGCTGGAGGGTGGGTTAAAGTGCACAGTGAGGCGGCGTGTGGTGGCAATCTGGGGGAAAGACAGAGAGAAAAAGGCCTGGGACTCATGAGCAATGGTGATGGCTCACCCCTTCCTGTCCCCATTGAGGTTCTGCCCTGCTGCCAGGAGGAGCTCCTGCTTCTGCTGATGGGGTGGGACATTACCTTCTGCATGGCCGCGCATAGCACATCATTGCCCTTGTGATAGGGAACCTGCACCGAGCCAAGGAACTTCACCCGAAACTGGTCCACCCAGTCGCTGCTCTTGGCCAGAGCTGCAAGAGAGAACACATTGGGGGAACCATCTCTAATGACCAGGCTGAGAGCCACCTCTCCTCTCCATATTCCCACCCTTGGCTCTGCAACATTGGGTACCAGCTCCCAGCATCACACCAGAAGCTGCCCATCGCTCCCTGCTGGGTGCCCTTGATCCTCCCTCCAACCCCCTGCTCAGCACCAGCCTCTGCTCAGCGGAAAGGAGGTGGACACAAGACTGGGATGTCAGCAGAAACTTGGTACCTGTTATATGGTCTGGGTCCTTGGTGACTTCAATAGCATAGTAGGCAGGGAAAATGCCCCGGTCACCCGTCCGCATGTTGTAGGCCTCGTACCAATAATCTTCTGCCTGCACCTCCACCAACAGAGGATCATCCACCTCCAGCTCCAGCTCATCCGCGTGGCGAGGCACAAACCTGGGTAGAGAGGCACTGGTGCCTGGCTGGCCAGCAGCATGGGGGCCTTCTCACTGGTGGCAACACAAATCCCACTACTGGCCCAGGCTAAATAAAGCATTGGAGCAGGTTTAGACTCAAAAGGGCAAGGATAACCCCTATTGCACCACTCCTGCTGCCCTAGAGGTGTTGCCCCTGCAGCAGCCTGGGCTGATGTTGCTCCTGAGCAGGGCACGAGCTACAGGCAGTGGTTTGGGGCTTCCCATGGTGGAAACACTGGGGTTTGGGCTGGCCACACTGCAGTGAGAGGGCAGCACCAGCTTTCCCCTGCAAGAGGCTGGGGGCACCACTCACACTGCAAGCTCACCTAAAGACAGCGCGGTGGGTCTGCTCCTGCTCCTCCCCGTTGATCATGCAGGAGAACAACCCGAAGGACTCAGCACCTGGGGACGAAGGCAGAGGGGGACGTCTCAGCACCACAGCCAAGGGATGGGCATGGGCCAGGCAGAAGAGACAAAGCCATGCACTTTGGGACCAGCTGAACCACGGGAAGCCCTGCTGCTGGGACATGCCACCACCAGTGCTCCTCTGGGGCTGGGGAGAAGGGCAGCACTCCAGGAGGGTGCTGTCCCCCTGCAAGACCAGTTAACCTCCTCCTCAGTATGGACATACCTTGAGCTAGGCAAAACAGCATCCTGAAACCCCTCTGGCTCACAAGGCTTTTCCAAGCCCCCCCATGCCTCCCCAGCCACAAAGACTGCAGCAAGAACTGGGGCTCGTATCTGCTGGTGGCTTCCCACCTGCTGCGTGTGCCCTCAGCCTTGTACTGAGTGCCCATTGCCCAGCTCCCCCCATGCCCCACACTCACTGGAGGAGCGCGCCCGGCCGCTCATGAAGACATTGAGGAACTTCTTGGAGAAGTGGATGTCCGCCTCGGGAGTGGAGTCCTCGGACAGGCACACCGAGTCGCGCTTCAGCGCGTCCTCCTCGTACTCCTCGCCGATGGCCGACTCGTAGGGCGAGGAGATGCAGTTGTCATAGACAGTGGCCGAGTCGCTCTCGTCGCTGTAGCCCGAGTAGCACTGCTTGAGGCTCACCAGCTCCAGCTGCACGTTCTCGTCCACCACCAGCGTGTATTTGACCGAGTCGTAGGACAGGGCGCTGGTGTCCGAGCTCACCGAGGCTCTCTGGAGGCTGTGCCCTGGCCGGGACCCATTGCTCCCACCACCGCAGGAAGCCCTGGGCAGGTTCATCTTGTCAGGGGAGGACATGTAGTCCAGCACCTCATCCTCCTCGCTGATGGAGGGGTTGGTTTTCCCTGCCAGGGCTGAGTAGCCAGAGGTGTCGATGTCGGAGCTGATGGACATGCGGTTCTCGCTGGACTGAGACAGGAACGGCTTGTCAGTCTCCAGAGGATCCGAGTTCTTCTGCACGGGCGTCAGGTAGATCTCCTCCGTGGCCTCCAGCCTTACGTCCGTCTGGTAGTGGATGCGGTCCCGGTGGGCCTCGGGGACCCTCGATGTCACCACCACCACGCTGGCACCGTGCGGCGGTGGCCGGCTGCTGGCCTGGTGCTTCTCGGGTGGCCGGGATGTGGCGATGCAGGCGGGTGCCATCTGGGTGGCTGCTGTGCGCCGGCACGGGCTCTCCGTGGATGTGCCCCGGTCTTTGGTGGAGGTTGTGCTGTTTTGGTGATTGACCTCATCACTCAGGCAAACGTGGTCGTGGGGAGGGGTCTGCTCACCTGGAGGGGGAGAGGAGAAGCATTGGCAGGCCCATAGAGGGTGATGCTCCGTGCTGGGGATGCCTTCAGACCCACCCTGCATCCATGTGGGATGGTTTCCCTCACCTCCTGCACCAGCATCACTTGCCCGAGGCTCCTGAGAGCCACAGAATAGTGCAAGGAGCTGCCCCTGGCCGACAGCTTGAGAACTCACCCGTTTTCAGAGGGGATGATGACCGGGACACCCGCTCCTGCCAACTGTGCTTTTTCGCCAGAGAGTTGTTATTCAGGGTGTCCTGAGGAGAGGAACAAAGACGCTTTGTAGCCCCAACAGTAAACAGCACGTGGTGGAGCAGCAGCAGCACCCATCCCTCCCCAGGATGCACACACACACACACACGGATCACTAGCAGACATTAATCCTGAT